TATTTTGAGGGTAGTTTAAAACTGTATAGGTCTCATTTTAATTTTTCACCAATGGTTTCAGTATATCATTCAAATAATATTTATTATAGGAAACACATGTCGTGGTTTAAACCCAGTCAGGTAACTCGTTCACTCGCTCCCCCCCTTCTTTCCCTCACCCTACTCCCAGAGGGACGGAAAGGAGAATCAAAAAGAATGCAACTCCCACGGGTTGAGATAACAGTTTAGTAACTAGAGGTATAACACAAATCACCACTGCTACCACCAATAATAACAATGATAAAGGAAATAACAAGGGAAGAGAATACAACATCTCACCACCAACCAACTGACAACTCCCTGCCCCCCCCCCCCCAGCCCAACCAAGCCCCGACCTATATCTCCTCCAACCCTGCAGCCTCCCAGCCCTTCTGGCTAACTCCCAGTTACATCCTGGGCATGATGTGCTGTGGTATGGAATACCTCTTTGGTCAGTTTGGGTCAGGTGTCCTGTCTCTGCTTCCTCCCAGCTTCCCCTCCTCCCTGGCAGAGCATGAGGCTCACAAAGTCCTTGGCCAAACCAAACCATCATTGTTATCAGCTCTGTTCCCGAGCCGAAAGTCAAAACACTGCACTGCACCAGCTACCAAGGAGGAGAAAAATGACTGCTACTGCTGAACCCAGGACAATGAATATTGTTAGTTCTCTATATGTGTCTTTGACTATGTTTAGTTATTAATCCATTGCTGAAACATATGTTGCTTTGCATTTCAGTGGTTACAATTAAAGTGGTTACTTCAAATTCTTCAAATCAGGGACCATGCTGCTATTATAGAATCATAGAATCATAGAATAATTAGGGTTGGAAAGGACCTTAAGATCATCTAGTTCCAACCTCCCTGCTACAGCCAGGGACACCTCACACTAAACCATGTCACTCAAGGCTCTGTCCAACCTGGCCTTGAACACTGCCAGGGATGGAGCATTCACAACCTCCCTGGGCAACCCATTCCAGTGCTTCACCACCCTAACAGGAAAGAATTTCCTCCTTGTATCCAATCTAAACTTCCCCCGTTTAAGTTTTAACCCATTACACCTTGTCCTATCACTACAGTCTCTAATGAAGAGTCCCTCTCCAGCATCCCTATAGGCCCCCTTCAGATACGGGAAGGCTGCTATGAGGTCTCGACGCAGCCTTCTCTTCTCCAGGCCCAACTTCCTCAGCCTGTCTTCATACGGGAGGTGCTCCAGTCCCCTGTTCATCCTCGTGGCCCTTCTCTGGACTTGTTCCAACAGTTCCATGTCCTTTTTATGTTGAGGACACCAGAACTGCACACAGTGCTCCAGGTGAGGTCTCACAAGAGCAGAGTAGAGGGCCAGGATCACCTCCTTCGACCTGCTGGTCACGCTCCTTTTGATGCAGCCCAGGATATGGTTGGTCTTCTGGGCCACAAGCGCACACTGCTGGCTCATGTTCATTTTCTCACCAACCAACCCCCCCAAGTCCTTCTCCGCAGGGCTGCTGTGAATCTCTTCTCTGCCCAACCTGTAGCTCTGCCTGGGATTGCTCCGACCCAGGTGTAGGACCTTGCACTTGGCATGGTTAAACTTCATGAGGTTGGCATCAGCCCACCTCACAAGCGTGTTGAGGTCCCTCTAGATGGCATTCCTTCCCTCCAGGGTATCAACCGATATTTATTAGACTAAATCATCTCACTCACAGGCATATACTTGCACCCACATCAATTATCAAGTTTAAATTCAATGCTTACTTGCTAGTTGTGAACACTGCATAGTTTCTGTCAACTTCAGATTTCACAGTCCTATACAGTATGGACAAAATGAACAGGCAATATTAAACTACCAGTTCACAGCTATTTACATCACATATAACAGCCTTTATTTCAGCTTTATTTAGGTTTGACTCCTCAGCTTCTTATGAGTTGATGGGAAAATTTACATTATACAACTGAAACTCATGCAGTGGAGACAGGCCCAGCATAAAAGATCAGCAGCATAAAAGATCAGCAGTGAGAACCATGATCAAATTATACAGGTTTTTTATACAGGGCAAAATGGCTTTGCTGAGAAGAACAGGAATAATGGTTTTCAAGAAGGTATCAGGCTAAGTCAAACCCAAACCAAACCTCTTAACCAGCAAAAAGTAATGTTAAAGACGAGTCCAATTCCTCATCCACAGCTACTCTCGAGGGGAAGACAGCTAGTTCATTTTCACTGAAATTAGTAAGACTCAGATTCACTTACTGATAAATGTCCACTACAGAGCACAGAATGTAGAGGTATATAGAATCACTAATTTTTAACACCTCACCAAAGTTAGATAAAAGGATCAATAGCTGCAATCCCATTGAACAAAATGCAAGATAGAGATGTAATAAATGTGATGGGAAAGACACAAATCAGAAACCTCAAAACTGACTGCTAACACTGTGGTTGTCTGGAGGTGATACAAGCCAGGGTAAGTCATCTCTGGACAAACTTGTAGTCTTAAGCCAGGAAGCCACAGTTTATTGTTTTCTCAGAGACGGCTAAGAGACTTACTATTTGTCAAGAAATAACAGATATGTGTGTAATCTAACTTCTGGAGAATGACTGGACATTGCCTGAAAGCTAACCAACATGTTAGGGATATTTAAATTTATCAAAGTCTACAAAGAGAAATATGGATATGTTATAGAGGGCAATATTAAGAGCTAATTTCCTGAGGAATTGGACCTCCACAGTTTTCATAAACACTGCCATCCTGCATTGCCAAGTAATGTTGGCATATCAGAGCACAAGCATGCTGTTGTCTTCTGCAGGGAGGAAGAACAAGGACTGTATTCCTACAGAATTTATTAATATAGTCTTTGGCAAACAGGCAAAGAGGGGCCTGCCCATACATAAAGCCAAAGGGGAGCCATAGGAGGGTAGTTAAATTCTCCCAAGCTTGAGATCCTGCATCCTGCCTTTTGGTCTGCTGGATTTCGCGCGGCCATTGGCTGGCTTAAAGCACAGGAAGGGTCAGCCTCACAGGCTTACCCCTGCCATTTAGAGGTAAACGTCATCTAGAAATGTATGGCAAATAACATCTAAACATGCTCCCTGTGGCCTTTAAAGGCCAAGATGTGTGGAAGCCAAGCTGAATCTAACCTTGGAAAGAGACCATTTTTGGTAACTGCATGTTCTAAAGATCAGCTGAAAACTATTCTGATGCATCTACAGAATGCAGAAACATTTGTGAGACGAAGAAGGTATTAATCAGGAAAAAGAAATAGAAGCTGGAAAAAACCTCATCTCAGCAAGAGTCAGTGATTAGATTACAACTAGGAGAGAAATCTGCAATTTGCGGATTGCAAACAAGGGAACAAGAATGCAGAGTTGTGAAGCTCAGCAGGTTAAAACTGAAAGTTTTAAAGCAGATGCATAATACTAGGCTAACTGTTCTGTACTTCTTTTTCAGCTTACGAGGTGCCTTTTCAGATCAAAATTAGAAGAAGAAAGACTTGAATAGGGAGAAAAAACAGAATCAACAAAAAGTAATATATATTTGAGCCAATTTTATTTTTCCTTGAACTTCATAAATTTTTCTGGTGCCAAAGCTTTACTAAGTATCCAAAGTAAAAGGTAGGCTATTGTGCTTGAACTTAATTTCTGAACAACATAAAAATTCTAGAGATGCAGGTAAGGAAAAAGACAGTGAAAGGCTACTGAAATAAAGGGGAGACTCTTATGCATTGTTAATATTTTAAAATAGCAGAACAGATAAACAAGTTACTGAAAGTTATGGAGAAAGCATTCAAGAAGTCTTGGGAAAAAGAATAATTTTTAGAGAACGTGCATGCAAGGACAGCACAAAGTATTCTAAAAATGCACAGAGAAAACATAAGTTTGAGTAATAGATGTGCTATTAATATTTAATGAATAGTAAATATTAAATGTTTAGGGAAAAATGAACAGGAAGTGTATGCAGAAAATACTTTTCAGGATATAAGCATTTGTGATTTATATCTGCTGCTTCTCACAGGGAGAATCTACAAGAGTTGTAAACTCCTCACTCAGAGCTGAGAGCATCTGGAAGCCAGAGTCTAGGAGACATGGCCTTGCAAAGATGCAAGATGTAGCAGACCATGTTGTCACTGGTGCTTTCTTATGTGAAAGATGATTCCCCAGCTAGCCTTCTAATAAGTATTTATAGGAATGCAATGGGAACAAAAGCAGATGCCTCACAAGGGGCATGTAGTTGCCTGATATTTGCTTACACGTGAGGGTCTGCTGAGTTTCAGAAGTTCCTATGCTTATCCAGGTTCTCCCAAAGGAATACTAAAAGCAGGAATGCAAATCACCTTGTTGCATCTGCACACTACTTAGAGCAGGAGCTAGATCACAGGATGCCCCCTATCCTTAAAATCATCTCTGTGAGCTCTTATTTTAATGAGGTCTTTGGTACTCCAGACTTCAGTGAGAAATTTCCAAGAATTTTTTAATGTTGCTGCCCTGATTCCCTGCTGGGATTCTACACTAGATGGTCTCAAATCTCAACATATATGTGGTTGATTGTAACCACCATCTTTCACTGAACTAGAAGTGCAATGTGAAATGTAGATGTGAGCCTTGAACCTAAGAGTATTCTTATAATTGAAAGGGTCACTGCTGAGGTGCAACTGGCTAGGGATTAACACTCCATGAATCAGCTTGCCGTGCTCAAAAGAATTTTGCTTCAGTATCTGTGGGAGATATAGTATGGATTTGGCTTCTGAATTTTAATATGTGGCTTCTTGTACCCAAGGAAAAGATAAGCATCTACAATCCTCTCCTTGCCTAAGTACAGGAATGTAGAATAGCAATTCTTACTAGGCATTGTCAAGTAAATCAAGGTGTAGAATCTGAAACCTGGATTCTCATCTCCATCCATCTTCAGTTCATGCACAGGGAGTGAGGTTTTAATGCACAGGGTTCAGAGGTATAACCTCTTTTCATGCTTCTCTGTGCACTGTAAATGCTCAAGAGAAAATATACAATTAAGAAATATGATACTTTTAATGCTGACAGACACAAGGTCAAACTAGAGAAGATCAGGCACTATGACAATCAGCTGAATGCAAAGGGGTAATTAACATGGAGAAAGGATCATCTGAGATGGCACCAGGAACCACAGCTGTGATGATTCAAAAAGTGCTAGACAAGCACTTTGAAGCAATGAAAACATTAGCAATGTGTTACTGGGAACGACTGCAGAGGACTACATGGCGTCCTTCTGTCCTGAAGCATTACTGTGAAGATTTGTAGTTTAATGCTGAAATAAAAAGGGGAGAAAAAGTCAGCAATGTTGTGATGTTAACACCATTGACTTTAAACCTAGAAAAAACACACTAAGCAGACAGACGAGAACTTGTATTTGAATCCTTTGAAGTAATGGAAACAACAAAAGTGGCCTGGGCAGAGTCCAGGAAACCAGGACTCTTCAAGAGTAATCCTGTCTCTCCCAGAAAATTTTGTTTTAGCTTGGAAGAAAGCCCTAATTTCTTTGCTTCACTTTCTTCCTCATGTAAAAAAAAATAGAATGTAATATTTGTCTGAGCTGCAAGAGGAAGAAATTAGCAGTGAATGCTGAATGATTTGAAAATACAAAGTTGCTATTGAGGGGACTGCATGGGGCTACTAAGTTTAGCTGCAATTTGGTGTAATCAAATGGACAGTCTTCAGTCACAAAACTCTCAATTCCTGAGATAGGTACTGTTTACTAGCTTACCACATAGGATAATGCAGTTTCCATTTCTGCTGCTGAACAATTAAAAAAAAACCCAAAAGTCTCCCAAAACAAAACCCCAAAGTTGAGCACCAGTTTCCCTGACTAAAAAGGACATAATGACATCAACAAAATCAAAAAGGTCTTTGAATTCTACTTATGTAAATCTGTTTCTATAAGGCTGGGTTGTCACCATAAACTTCATAGATTATTCTCAGACTCTTATTGCATTTTAGGCTTTGGTTGGATTTTTATTGTGGCTGTAATATTAACTGTATTCATATGTGAAAATAATCTTCAAATGGAAAGGACTTAGAATACTTTTTTAGACCCATTTACATGCTGATTCTCTTGCTTAGTACATGTACAATAATTGTGTGCAACCTAACACCTGTGTTTCACTAATGTTTCCTTCAAGGAATAAAGAATTGCTGTGAATGTGTGCTGGTTTTGGCTGGGACAGAGATAATTTCTTCAGAGATGCTGGTATGGAGCTGTGTTTTCGATTTGTGCTGGAAACAGTGATGGCATTACCATCTCATCCATGCTGCAACCATAACTGCTTCTGCTCCTTGATCAAAGTAGCTCTCCATTCCTAGAAAGGTAGGAGCTCCCTGAGAGCTGCCATAGTTGGTATAGCTAAGATATCATGGTGGTGCATATAATTCCTTGAGGATGACTTGATTTGCTCCCCCCCTTTTCTCTACCATTTTGAGAGCCATGTCCTGGGGTCTACTGGGGGTGGGAGGTGTTGCATTCCCAATACCAGTTCTTCAAGATGTAAACTTAAGATGCTTCCCTATTCATTAAGTCTTTCTTTGCAACTGCTCCAACACATTGAGTTTGTACTACAAACATAGAAATGTTGCAGCAAAATAAGACTTTGCTGAAAAAAATTGGAAGGAGTTTGTTGAAGAAAAGGTGCCTGAAGCACCTGAGGTTTTGTGTGTAAAGCTAAAATAGAAATATCTGGCACACTGCCTAGTTGTAGAGCTAGACTGTTGACATTGAGAGTTAGGGTGTGATAGCTAGTGTTCCGTAAAACCACATCCTACCTTATTAAAAACTAACTTCCCTTTTTAGACAAGACTGGAAAGTTTGAGATTAACTCATAAAAAGGGTTTTGAAAATGCAGTTACATCTGACATTCTTGTGAAAGGTAAATATAACCTGCTACACAATTAACAGTGACTTGTTCTTGGCAATTCTTTTGAAAACATGTGAATTACTAACAAGACATTGGGTAATGGTATCTTGTCTGCAGAGATTTCTATTTTTATGGTTTGCTAAGCATAGTTTCATTCTTGGCCTTGTAATTAGAAAGTAGGTGACATTTTGAGTTCAGCTTTCATGGAATCAGCAGGCGTTGCAAGCAGCTGGTAAAACAAGAGAAAAGTTCTCTTACCCTTCTTTATAACTCGTTATGACCTTGATCCCGTGTAAGCCAGATTTCTGCACCCAAGAACAACCCCAAAATCAATAGAGCTCTGTACAGTCATAAAAAGCTCACTGCAAAACTTTCTATCTCTAGTATTGCTTGCAAGTAACCTCAGACCACATTGTATGATATATGCAACTAACTGTCTGTGGGGCAGCTATACTCTGCACTGGGCCATCAAGTTGTGCCCGTTAGCTGATAAGTTGTAATAAGTGTTAGTTTCTTCCCTTCCTTTCATTTGAAAGGAAGTCCAGAAATATAGGAGTGCAGTCAGTCTGGGGGCAGTCAGGATGAGACCTGGAGCAAAGAGTAAAGGCTGCTAGTGGTAGTAGTATTTGTCTAATTTCTCTTCCTGCAGAACAGCTGTCATTGTGGGCATGGACATCCCAAAGTTTGTGCAATGCATTTGCAAGCTGATGTGCGCTTTGTACTTTCTACTACTACTGTGATAGTACTTATGATTCATAGCCCACCTGACAGGCTAGGAAAAACTCCAAGGTGTGAAACTGTGATGGTTCTGCAGAGAACCAGTGCAGTTATGTTGGGACAAGTACCAAATATAACTTATCTTTTTGGATGAAGAGACATTATTTCAGCTGGGTTTTGATTTGAAACTAAGTTCCTGTACACACCCAAAAAAGCTACTAGATCTGTTTTGTCCTAAATCAAGGGTCCTCTGTCCTACTACATGTTGGTAAGAAAGTCTATTTTCTGTTAAATAAGGAAAATGTCTTATGAGTGTCTTGTATGTGCATGCACTGATTTTAGTCAGGTTTGGGGAAGATGCATAAAAATGATCAGAAGGCTGGAGCACCTCTATGAAGAAAAGCAGAGAGCTGGGGTTGTTTAGCCTGGAGAAGAGAAGGCCCTGGTGAGACCTTCAGCCTTTCAATGCTTAAAAGGAATTTGTAAGAACATCAGAGAGCTCTTTATTAGGCCCTGTAGTGACAGGACAAGAAGTAATTGTTTTAAACTAAGAGTATTTTCAGATTGGACAGAAGGAAGAAATTTTTCATGGTGAAGGTGATGAAGCGCTGGCACAGGTTACCCAGAGAAGCTGTGGCTGCCCCATCCCTGGAAGCATTCAAAGCCAGATTCAACAAAACTTTAAGCAACCTTGTCTATGGAAGGTGTCCCTGCCCATGGCAGGGGGCATTAGTACTTGATGATCTTAAGGGTCCCTTCCAACCCAAACTATTCTGCGAGTCTACAATTCCAGGTGTTTTCAAATTTTGCCGAATGAAATCCAGGTATGCAAAATCTTTCACTGTGACTAGGACACCTCATCTGTAACACAAAATATCTAGGTCAAATTTTGATACTGTGGAAATTAAATAGGATTTATGCTGGATTTCTTTGTTCTAAAACATCTCTAGAAAAAAAAAAGAAAAAAACAACAAAAAAACCCCACACAACTTAGAAATAAACAGTTTTATTTTTATATATATATTTGTTGAAAGAAAAAGAAATCTTCTGTATAAAGCCTAAATTTTTAATAAATTACAAGCATTTTTCATATATCCCACATAAAGTTGTGTTAGCGTCAAAATGATTCATTCAAAGGTTGCAAGAATAAAACAGGTAAGAAGTAAGAATACCTAAATTAAAATAATAGCCAAGCCTGGTAGATTATTTAATTGCTTTATACATACTGTTTTATCACCTCTTCTGCAGCATATGACAGAAATATTGAATATAGGGTTTGTAACCTAAGAAAATCTTTAGATAAAGCTACAGGAAGCAACATAGTTGAACTTATTTAGAATGTTTCCCATATATCTAGCAGGAAAGTAAAAGAACACTAAGTTAAAGAAATAAGAAGCTAAAAACTAATTGGTGGTAAAAGATATTCAAGACATAAAGACAATTGAGACCTCTGGTTTAAGTCACCTGTGGTCAGGTAAAATGAACAGTCCATTGACTTTACAGACTTTACTCTCATCCCTGTTCAGAGCAACTGGGAGGTGCACCTGCTTACATGTACTTTACCATAAATACATTTAAAAAGTTTACTACAAGTTAAATTTGTGTATGCAACCAGAATTTGGCTCCATGCATTTATTTTTCATTGTTACTAAGTACACTGTTCTTAGTTTTAACAGATGAAGAAATCTCCTTTTACTTTTTTTTTGGCTTTGCACATCATTATTCAGCTGACAGCGATCAAGGTCTGAAAACTGGCTTGTTCCTAAAATACAGCATGAGTCATTAGCCCATGTAGACATAGCAAAGGCATCTTAGCCTCTGTTTTCATACAGAAACATATATTATTTTGCTGAGACTAAAAATGTGAACAACAATGGAGACATACATAAGGTCCTACAGTGAACAGGAATAATGCTTGTTCCTGAAAATAAATACCAAATACTTTCTGTGGGATTTTTCACTGCATAGGAGGTTTGGACACTTGTATAGTTCATACGGAATATAGAATATGCTCCATGGATAGTGAACTTGCGAAATCATGTGCACTTTCCTGTCAATGCAGTGTGAAATAAAGAGGCCCATTACTTTCGTATTCACAAAACCTCATTCAAATCGCATGACAGCATATACAGTGTAATTAATGCTGTTCAGATTTGGTCATCTACAGCAACAAACCCCAAAATAACAGTGTAGAAAGTTATGCTAAATGAGCCATTACCATACCTTATACTGAAATTATTCTGTGTACAGATTATCCCAGATCCAGCTGGTTGTACTCCAGATCTAGCTCTGGGATTTCTACCAAGTTATGGCTCAGATTCCCAAGAGAACACCAGCTACATGCTGGGTAGCCCTCTGGCTGTGGTTTGGAAGGAGCCTGTAGTCTTGTAGTATGGGAAACGTGTTCTCATAGGACAACTGTTCAAACTCAAACTCTGTCAGAGCAGAATTAACAGTATTTTCCAATTTCTTTTTTCACTATACAAGATAGAGATATCTTAAGAAGTTTAATGTTTTCTCAACATTTATTTAGACATGCTGTATTCTAGCATGTTTAGCATGTCTAGCAATCATATGAGCACACATTTATTCTAAAAAAAATAAAAAATCAAAATCTGCTTCTCTAAAAAGAGAGGAGATGTGTAAAGTTTTGGTGATTATTTTATTTCTAGGTAAAAAAAAAATAAATAAATTTGAGAGCATTTCTGAATGGAACAAAAAAACATTTTTTTAACCTAAAAACAAAATTCCACCCCAGAACTAGGATGTGCAACTTCATGAGTGAATGAGAATGAATTACAGTTAAGCCATTTAGGATTTTTCAAAGATATTTTATAGATACATTTACTAAAATACTTTCATTTGCATTAGTCATTTAGTGAAATACTATTAGCATTATTTTTTCCTCAAAGCACTTTAACTTGAAGAAATATTACTTTCTCAGGCACTGATGTTTTTAGATGCTGTTATGTACTACATTCTATATTAAAGACTGTATTCTAGAAATATCCAGCTAACACACAGAGAAAAAAACTAAGGGTCATTTGAGAAAGGACCACTTCCTAACAGGCATTCTTATAAATCTCTTGTGAAATAAGATTTATATTGTCTTGCCTGATACTAATAAGACATAATGAGTAGAATTTCTGAAAGAGCTATTGTAGTCTACCTGCCAAGTGGAAAACTGTACGTCCAAAGCACTAATTAGACTGTTATCATAACTTACACAAATTGTGAATTGAAACTGAAGGAACCCACTGGGACTAGTAGGCTGCTCCTGGTCTCCTGCTCACATAAATTTAACCCTAATGACTGTGCTAACAGAACTCATTTGCTCAAATACAGGTCTATGCCACATGTGCAATTTTAACTTTTGGGTATCACCAAAATCAAGAGTTGGGGAGAAATTCTATTCACTGCAACTGGGATCAATTAACTGTCTTTGTTGTTGCTGCATCAGTATGATACTCATTTACATCTGAAATGTATTTTTAAAAGATATTTTGCAAATAAAAAACTGAGACTTCTTTAAGCAACTTTCTTTTGAATGAGGTAATAGATGTATTTAAGAATATATATTTATTAATATTTTTACATATATATGTGTCCATGTTTATATATATATGCGTACAAACATATAGTTGCACTTCTAGGAGAGATACATGTGTGCATACAGACACATATCCACACAGAGAGAAAGACAAAAGTGCTAGTTCACAGACTTCAGATGACTTGGCTTTGAAAAGTATTGACAGAATTTGAAGTTAACCGTTACTTTGAAGTAGACCTATCTAGACTTTCCTCTTATAATGAGCTCCCCAAAGAAGACCATAAGGCTTTTAAAATCAATAAAGGTTACATTTTTATAAAAGAGAGAACTAGCATTTGTGAGTTCTTTCTATATAGAGGATCATTTTAGAACTCTTTTTATCTAAGAAATACAGAAAATTAATAAGAAATATTTATGCAGCAACTTCCCCTTCCCCCATGTGTCCTTGAAGCTGGAACTTGACTTTCACACAATGCTGTAAATAACTCAATGATCTTTGAAATGATGTAAACTTTGTGCACACTCTAATTCCTAGGCAGTTTCTCATTTTGTTTCATCTAAACCTTGGCTGATCAGTCCTTGTTTTTCACAGCACCTTCATCAACTCTGAGTCACATTTCCCTAGTCCTACATTTACAAGCTTTTGCCTGTAACCCTCTGAAGTCTGTAGTACTTGCCCCAGGTGATTCCATCTTGCTTAATCTTCTTGAAAGAGGAAAATATATAATCAGAACAAATATGACACAAATCTTACCCATCGTAAAGAATAAAATGCATAAAAGACTGTGTCTTGGATCTTCCACAGAAAATGGACCTCTGATTGGTCCAGGAGTCATGGAAGAAGAAAAATTTTAATTGATTATGCTGGTGTTGTGACTGACTATTAATTATCATAGTTTTTCTACCCAGCGTCAAACTCTATTGTGATAGTTTATGAAAAAAACAACAAAAAACACAAAACAAAAGCCTTTATTCCACACAAATCATAAAAGCAACACAAGGCATATGGAAGTAGCGATTTCAAAATCACAGTGACCACACTAAAACTGAGC